GGTCGCCGTCTGCTGGCTGAAGAAAAACAACATGAAGTCGCTCTTGAAATTACACTCATTAAAAAGCTTCCTCAGGCCTTCTCTGCCCTCTGCCATCGTCCATGGACTCCCCGGCAGACAGTCTTCACACTTTACCTACGTTCCTGACACGGTTGCAGAGGCGGAAGGTACGGTTTTGGGCTTTTATTAGTGGGTTTTCTTCAGGAGATGCCTCAGGGGTCGAGTGTTAGGAGTTTGATGCCGTCGATTTTATGTATTTATGCGTTTGTATATTTACCGATTTCGTATTTCTCCGTTCGTCCTTGTTCAAGGTACGTTGTTGGTTTTAGATTAGGTAATAAGAATAAAAAGGAAGACGTGGTAAAGGTGGTCATAAATATGCACGTTAAAGGGCACTCGAATACCTGTTTTTTTTGTGATGGTTTTGGCTTGACATTTTACATTGATCAGGTCGACAGAGAGCTTTTTAAAAGACGTGTTTCGGTTTCCACAGAATTCTCGCAGTTGGAATATGACAGCTGTGTAGGTTGGACTAATTGTAAATTTCGTCTCGTTGAGAAAGTTGGCTTTACTAGTTTGAATTGTAATGGGAAAGGAACAGTTTAGTTTTGGAGTAGTTGAGACTATCCTTGGTGCTCTTTATTCTATGGCGAATCCTTTGTGTGATATTGATTGCAATGCATAGTTGGATTGTGCAAGGAACTTGAAACCAAGATATTACCAGTCCGAGTATGGCATGTGCACACCGGAGATATTTTTGTCCTAAAGCTCCTGCACACCAGTAGTTTTGCCCTAATAAGGCTGAGTTCCTATTATAACAGGGACACAGCACGACATTAAATGCTGCTTTGCTCTTTTTATACAGCCATTATATAATCTAGATAGGAGAATTGCATATTAATATAGCAATTACATCACCTACCAAACATGCTAACACAGGAAACATATTAACACAGATTCAATTATCCTTTTTTGTTGATAAAGGTCGACTGTCATATCATAATTGATGCCACAAGGACACAAATAATCAAATAAAGCAGATTAACCCCTTGCCGACAGGTATGGCATGTACGTACATGCCATGCCCATTGTGAGTCGACTTGTTTGATTGTTTTTACACATAGATGGCTACACTTGTACTAAGTCATCAGTGAGCCAAGTACGAGTACTGCCTGTTTCGCCCATTCACCCTTTACATCGATTTACAAAAATGTTTAATGTTATCCTAATTTGCTGTTAAAAAATAACACCATCTATAGTTATAGCACTAGTAAGAATCCGTATTTTCTGCCAATTCAAGGAAAGGTGAAATCAGGACTAGCAGAGCCATCTATATACAGAGATATTTCACAAAAATACAAAAAAGGAGTATAGCATTTTCCTCGTTTTTTATTCATTTTTCCCGGCGACAATGGGTTAATAGGCATAGAAAAGCCATATCTTATGACCCTGAGGAAAAGGACTGAATTTTTCTACGACCTAATTGTCACTTATCAATTAAACTGTCTTAGGGTTTATAGGGCTATGAGGCAACATGTAAATTCACATAGGTAATTTCAAACTCTCCATGACTTGTATAGTGTCTGTATTCAAATGACCCAGACAAATTGAATGAAGAAGAAAGTCAAGGAATGCTCTTTCGCATTTGTGAAATTTCAGTTCAAAGCAAATATGCAGGTGTGCACCAGAATGTCTGGTGGTGCACACCGAGTATTTTGCTTTTGCACACCAGCGATCTTGTTGAAAAGTGCAATACTGTGCAGACTGGTAATATTACAGAATTGATGTTCTAATCTCCACAGTACAGGCCAAGACATATTCATTTGCATCATTTGCTACATCACATCTTGAAAGAAAGCATTTGTCAATTTGCTGTGTGACATGTCATGCAATTACCCAGATCCATAGATCAGACTGTTTATTGACAAGCCAATCATCAATTGCTAATTAGTATTTATCTGCTGGGTGTTTTTTAATAATTTTTTAAAATAAAACTGCATTTGACAGAATAATGTGAGTGAGATTTTCCTTGGCTTCTTTAGGAATTTTGCTCTTGTCATTTCATAATAGTTACAGAGATAGTACAAGTAGCTGTGTCTGTATCTTGCACAGATTTTATTTATTTGGGGAGAGAAACATGCACAAATTGTTAGAGATTCATAGGCCTACCGCCAAGGCATAATTGTTATAATTGAGGACTCTTTTTTTTTTTTTTTTTTTACATTTGACTTCATTTTGCTAGATCCGAATCATGTCTTATGAAGCAGTTCATAATTCTATTCAAGAAGTTAAACAGAATTTGTATCTAATGGTCTGCCACAACATAGAAACTGTGTGTATTAGATGTAAAAATAATTTTTGTGGACTTTTTAATAGAAAATAGTGTTTAATATGCTCACAGATATTACATAGTATGCAACTGATTTTATGACTATAACAGTAAGTAAATGGAATCCATAACCTCTATTCGTAAAACATTTTTCAGTGTTCTTATTTCTATAGCTGACTGTTGAAATATTCAGAATGGCTCTGTTTCATGTAAAACTATTTCTCTCATTCATTCTTGGAAATGTGTGGCACTGTCATTGTGTTAGTTGCTGAGCATTCACAGATAAGTGTAAACATATTGGTAACCTCCATCTTGTTAGTATCTGTGCCTGTCTAGGCATATGTATCAGGGTTGAATTAACCCATTATTAAGAAGCTGCCTCTTGGGCAGTTTTTGTTTATTGACTTACTATTCATATATATATATATATATATACATACATATGTTATGTATGTTATGATTATGTTATTAATGAAAACTGTTATTAATGAAAACTGTTCCTCTCTTCACCAGGAGAGACCGTGAGGCAGAACTTGTTCCAGTCCATCAATTCAGCTCTGGATTTTGCCCTGGCCACAGATGACTCAGCTGGTAATATCTTTGAGGTTTGCAATATTGAAAGGATATAGTTTTGCACACATATTGTCAATTAGATATAGCGGTACTGTTGATTTATACATAGGCAAATGTGCACACACACTTTCACAGGCAACCCAACAACCCACATGTTTGTGCATAAGCACACATGAGTGTAAGCACATACAAAACACACGCACACGCACACACACACACACACACACACACACACACACACACACACACACACACACACACACACACACACACACACACACACACACACACACACACACATGCCATATATGCGTTATGAAATGCAACAAAACCAAAAACTGGTTTGCGTTTAACGTCTCAGTTCAACTTCGTGTTTGCATATTTCCAGTGATATTTGGAGAGGATGTTGGCTTTGGAGGAGTCTTCCGTTGCACAGTTGGCCTGCAGGACAAGTATGGAAAGGATCGAGTTTTCAACACTCCCCTGTGTGAGCAAGGCATTGCAGGCTTTGCAATTGGAGTTGCTGTTGGAGGAGCAACATCCATTGCAGAGATGCAGTTTGCTGATTATATTTTCCCCGCTTTTGACCAAGTAAGTATTAGGGATATAGTTTACAGGAAGAATTTTTTTTGTGTGTTGGTGTTGAAGCTTATGAAAGCTTCTTGTATCTAGCCACGGTGGAAAAATGAATTTGTAAGGATATTGTAATCTTTAAATGCTTCTGAGCTACACTGTATACACAAACAAACACACAAGCATGCATACATACGTACACACACACACACACATGCACACACTCATGTACCGACAAACGCACGCACGCACACGCACACACACACACACACACACACACACACACACACACACACACACACACACACACACACACACACACACACACACACACACACACACACACATATATCACACACACACATATCACACACACACATATCACACACACACATATCACACACACACATATCACACACACACATATCACACACACACATATCACACACACACATATCACACACACACATATCACACATCGCACAAGAGATCTGTATATACATATGACACATATTTCATAATCTGTTAATTCTCTCTCTCTCTCTCTCTCCCAGATTGTAAATGAAGCTGCCAAGTATCGCTATCGTTCAGGTAATCTCTTTGACTGTGGGAAGCTGACGATTCGCGCTCCCTGTGGTGCTGTGGGACATGGTGCACTCTATCACTCGCAGTCTCCCGAGGCCTATTTTGCTCACACTCCAGGCCTCAAGGTATGGGTGTCCTTTGGTATTTGTTGATAGCTGAGGATTATGAAGAGACAAGATTTTTTATTTCTCTCTCTCTCTCTCTCTCTCTCTCTCTCTCTCTCTCTCTCTCTCTCTCTCTCTCTCTCTCTCTCTCTCTCTCTCTCTCTCTCTCTCTCTCTCTCTCCCTCTCCCTCCCTCTCCCTCCTTTATTCTTTTCCTTTCCTTTCTTTTCTTTTCTTTTCTATTTCTTTTCTTTTCTTTTTCTTTTCTTTTTTCTCTTCACTTCTCTTCCCTTGGCTTATCTTCTCTTCTCTTCTTTTTTCCCTGTATCTTTTCTTTCTCTCCTCTTTCTTGTCCTCCTTCTCACCCTCCATCTCCTCTTCCCCAGATTGTTGTTCCCCGAGGCCCCATCAAAGCCAAGGGCCTCTTACTCTCCTGCATTCGGGACGACAATCCGTGCATCTTCCTGGAGCCAAAAGTCCTGTATCGCTCAGCTGTCGAGATGGTACCCACTAAGGAATACACACTCCCTCTCTCTACAGCGGATGTTCTTGACGAAGGTGTGTCTCTTTTCGCAGCGTTATGTCGGTTGTTTTGAAGGATCTCGTAGAGGTGAATTCGATTGCAGTTGACTCTTTATCAGGTGTGGTTTTGATTGACCATAATTTTTTTTTTTTTTTTTTTTTTTTTTTGTATTCTATTTTACCCGCCACTCAAGGCAGTTTTGGGTACCCAACATATGAAACAATTTTTTTCTTCTTCTTCCTCCTCCTCCTCCTCCTCCTCCTCCTCCTCCTCCTCCTTCTACTTTCCTTCTCCTCCTCCTCATTCTCCTCCTCCTCCTCCTCCTAATATTAGTCTTTTTTATTTATTTATTTATTTTTTTTTTTTGTAGCACTGCATGAATGTTCAAAGTGGCATTGCTGTGGAGAGTCCAGACATTTTTACCTCCCATAGGTACACAGACATTTAAAAAATAATATGTCTATTAATGATTCAAAATTGGAGTTGTGGCATGCCTCAGATTGCTACTACCACCATCCCCTAGAAGTGAATGAATGTGCCATAGGTTATTTCACAAAAGTCTAAAACCATGTTAAAGAAGGAAGTAGATTTCACTAATGAGAAGACACTGAAATAACAAAATGTAAATTCTACTAAGTCTCATGTTATGCTTTTGGCACTCTGTTGAGGTGTGGTGCAAATAGTTCAGTATGAATCAAGGGCTCACTTTGGGCTTTGAATTTTTTTTTTTTTTTTTCTACTGGGAAAGTAGTAATTCCGAATCCATGATAGAAGGACATTCTTCCCATACAGTTTGATTATCTTGGATTCAAAGGAAAAGATTTTTTGCGAATGGCATCTCTGCATACCTTGGCAAGATTGAGTGTAAATTCTGGATAGGACATATGGAGGCTGCTATCTGTTCTGCATGCTGTACAGGCTAGGAATATCATTATCTTGATGACACTTTTTCTCTAGCCATAGCATTCCAAAATTGTTCTAAACCTTTATTTTTCAGTACTTTCTTCTAGCATAATGGATATAATGGATATTTTATATAAAGCCAAGCAGAGACTAACACCTGGCTCTTTTTAATGTGTACCACCATGCACCTGGGAGGTTGTCCAACCGGTAGTAGTTGGCACGGAATCTCATCCTAGTGATTGAAACATGGACTCATGACATGACAAGATGCCACTTGTCTGTGCTGTGTATTTCCCCCTGTGTCTTTGGGGAAACTGGCCATTAACCCATTCGCACTGGGTGTCACGTATATGTGACATGCCCACTGTGAGTTTACTTGTTTAATTGTTTTTAGACATAGATGGCTACACTTGTATTTGTACTGCCTGTCTTGCCCGTTTACCCTTTTCTTTAATATTTTGCTGTTACTAATATTTATAATATTATAGTAATTATAATGTTTATAATAAAAATAACCATCAATATTCATAGCACTAGTAAAAATACATTTTCCCGCCAATTCAAATAAAGGTGAAATCAGGAAAGGCAGAGCCATCTATGTGTAGAGATATTTCACCAAAAATATAAAAAATGAGCACAGCATTTTCCCCATTTTTTTTTTTCATTTTTCCCCAGCGCAAATGGGTTAAACAAACCATCGGGAAAGATTATATTCTCAGTTTTGCATAAGTTATTTATTCCACCTTTGGAAACTTCTTGGCTTTTTGATGGACTTGCTGATTAACAAAACATATTTTAATATCTCTTCAACAGGAGATGATATAACTCTCCTGGGATGGGGAACCCAAGTCCATGTCCTGAGAGAGGTTGCGCAGATTGCCCGGCAGCAGCTCAACGTGTCGTGCGAAGTGATAGACCTCGTCACCATCCTTCCCTGGGATCGGCAGACAGTTTTCAATGTAAGTGGAACCATACTTTGCACGTTCTGTTCATTTTTATTTGAGTTAAGTTCCTGAATAAACTTGTCCCAATGCCAACAGGCATGATGTATAGATAAGTGCTATGCCCACTGTGAGTCGACTTGTTTGATTGTTTTTACACATAGATGGCTACACTTGTACTAAGTCACCAATGAGCCAATTATGAGTACTGCCTGTCTCGCCCATTTACCCTTTTCTTTGATTTACAAAAACATTTTACGTTATCTTATTTTACTGTTACTAATGTTTATAATATTATAGTAATTATAATGTTTATAATAAAAATAACACCATCGATGTTCATAGCACTAGTAAAAAATACATTTTTCTTGCCAATTCAAATCATGTAAGGTCACAAGGTCTACTAATTGACTCCTTTGTGGCTAAGCACTAGCAGAGCCATCTATGTGCAGACATTCCACAAAAAATATAGAAAATGAGCACATTTTTAGGTTTTTTATAATTTTCCTGTATATACTGATTTTCCAGATCTTATATAGATTAAATTTTAGTGTTACGATTATTATACTCTAAAAGACATTAAAACATGCAAACATTTCAGTCTGTGAAGAAAACAGGCCGATTGATTATTGCACACGAAGCACCAATAACCAATGGCTTTGGAGCAGAAATAGCAGCAGCAGTTCAGGTAAGACAGTTTTATAGTTTACAGAAAGTTTAGATAGCATTGTACTTTCCATTTGTTTCAGTTTCTCACATTTAGGCCTATATACTGGAAATGTTTGCTGATATACCATCATGAATTAAATTTTCACTTGAAAGAGAAGCAATTCACAGCAGAGCCAATTCAAGCAAAGTAAATGAAAGTAGAAAGTTTTTGGTAATGTATATCTAAATTCATTAAAGGAAATGATCTCTCTGGTAACGTATTTCCAAACTGCCCCACAGAACGAATGTTTCCTACACCTGGAAGCCCCCATTGAGAGAGTATGTGGCTTTGACACTCCCTTCCCACATGTGTTTGAGCCGTTTTACCTGCCAGACAAGTGGCGTTGCTTCAGTGCCGTCAAGAAGTTACTAAACTATTAATATTTGCAGTTAACAATAACAGTTGTGCAGCTGATGATCATAAGGTTGTTTTCCATTTGGTAGTTAGTCTAAGTAACAGGTACAAAGGAAGATATAAATTTTGATTTGGACAAAAGTTTGATCTTCCAGGGTCTGCAACATGTGTAATTGTGTTACTGCATTTTAGATAGTTATTTTTTATGTGAAATGTGGTTGGACATTATTATCTTTGCTCACCTGGTATGCCATACAATTTAGTTTTAGAGGTTTTTACATATAAAAGGGAAGTGCTGAAGCTTTAGTTGTATATTATATTTTGGTAGATTAAATTTGATAGGTATGTGTTCACTATGGTATTTTGATGTTAGAATGGCTCAGAATGAACATTCTTTGTTTGGTATTTTTAGTCATTTGGTAATAAATTTAAACAGTTGTGTTATCAGTTGTTTGGAGATTAAAGTTACTGTATCACAAACGTACTTAAGGCAGGTTCCATCGGCTTGTATGTGTATATGTATACGTGCTTGCACAAATACACCCTCAAACAAACAAGCACACACATGCAATAAATGTACACAATTTAGAGAAGAATTGAAGGGAGAAAACTTGCACAATGATGGAAAGGATTATGTTCTATAATTTTGTTATGCAAGTTACTAAAGAGAGTAGGACAGGATCAGCAAGACATGATATTTTAAGTCAGACTAGATTCAGTCATTGGACAGTAACACTCAAATAGCAATTAGGTTTTATTATTGTCTGATGAGCGGGTCCTTTCTGACTTTAAGGTTTATGGTTCCTTTCTTACTAGGCTGTTCTATTTTAGCATATACAATTTACTGAATTTTCTATTTTTAGTTCACGTAGTATTGGGAAATTGGGACTTGTAGGTTAAAAACTGAGCAGAATTAGTTTCCTTAGTGTTTTTGACTGTTATTTGTAGAAAGCGTTTTTTCGTCATAAGAATTTTTGGAGCAAATTCACCATTGGAAAGATCATCACATTCACATCTGTGGTATTTTTTAAACGAATCTCATCATGTTTTAGGTAATGTCTGTTATTAATATACATTTGAAATTAGTAATGATTTTTGAATATAGAAAACAGTAAGGAAGAAAGATTTCAGTGCAAATGAATCCCTTGTCTGTTGTAACATTAACTTTAATAAAAGATTCTCCATTAAAAATATTAATTTTTGGCAAGTGTCTTGGAGTTGCACCATGTCAGACCTTCAAAAAAAAAAAAGAGGTTGTGATATCAGGTTTTTGTAGACTAGGAAACCCAAAGGGGAATATAATGTTTTCCATAAATGTGCAAAGTAAGGTCAAAGTGTACTCAGAATGCAAGAATCACTTGTTGGGTTACTACAAGTTGTCTGCAAGTATCCTATTTAGAAATGTTCAGATTTACTAAAACGAAGGAGGTCCTCAATACATGTAATGCATAAATATGGTTTGTTCATTCTACATAAAACTATTTTCCTCAGGATTCACAGTTTGGTGTATTGTAGATTTCATGCGACAGTTTATTAAATTTTTCTTTTGTGATATTTAGGTAAAAGAGTAATTGTTAGCTAAGTAATTAGATGTTGTAAATATAAATATAATTTTTTAGACACCTTCTTGTATCATTTCCCCTTTGCATACTTTTTTCTTAGCAAATGATTTTTAAACTGAATTGGAATGGAATTATGGGGCAAGAATACTGTATTGTCATGTTATTTGGTATTACAAAAACATTACAGATTAGATTCCTAGTTAAGGATCTGTATTGTAAACTCATCAGTAATTAATTGTAGTCATTTAATTATGCATAGATATCTTGAATACCAAAGTGCAAGGGAGTACTGTTAGTCTAATGGGAACAATATTGCTAAATAAGATAAGAAAGTAATGATTTACAAACCGTATCTAGTCCATATGATCTAAATCTATTCGTATTTACAGGTTAACCCCTTGCCAACGGGCATGGCATGTACGTACATGCCATGCATCGACTTGTTTGTTTTTGTACATAGATGGCTACACTTGTACTAAGTCACCAGTGAGCCAATTACGAGTACTGCCTGTCTCGACTGTTCACCCTTTTCATCGATTTACGAAAATATTTAACGTTATCTTATTTGATTAGATATAACACCTTCTATATTTATAGCACTGGTAAGAATACGTTCTTTCCCGCCAATTCAAGGAAAGGTGAAATCAGGACTAGCAGAGCCATTTATGTACAGAGATATTTCACAAAATATAAAAAATGAGTATAGCATTTTCCCCATTTCTTATTCATTTTCCCTGGCGGCAGTGGGTTAATAAAGAAGTTGAATTGACAAAATTGAATAACATTTTTATAACAATGAACATAAGTTAAGGAGCCATTGTTCTTGTGATTTGTATGCAATAATG